CCATTACCAGCGCACTCGAGGTGCACCTCCATTGTTGAGCCACCCAACTTGGGAGGGCTAGCTCAACAAGGTGTACATGTGTTGACATGTAAGTATCTTAAGGTGCCATACTAGGTTTACAAAAATTTTCAAAATATTAACGTTTTATTAGTTGGAGATGTCACTCTCGACATAATAGATAGAAGAAACCGAAGACATTATTTTTTTTCTCCATAATAGGAAAAGACAAAGATTCAAGCTTTCTCCCAACATTCATAGAGTTTAATATCAACACGAAGTCTGAAATAAACGTCATCCTCAAACGCATCAGTCATCAAAGTGGCGATCCCACGAGCCATAAAGAAATCCCCTGTTCCACCGATGACTGAGATATCCCTCGTTTTGTTCAGCAGTGGATCAGCGCCGGCGAAATTGATGCTTCCCCTGTGCTCAGTGGAGTTGAAAACGAAAGAAAACCCAAGCCAGGCCGTGAAGACATCTTTTCCGTCGTAGAAGTAGAGCCCCTGAGCACGTCCAACTGGGGTTGAATGCAGATTGTTGTCCAAAGTAACAGGATCGTCGAACAGCACCAGGTCGCCAAAATGGCCCTGCGCTGCCAAGATGGTCCTGTTTGCCCATGCGGGTGCACCAACAATGGCGGCTGTTGCATTCTTTGCATTCTTGCCATTGTAGATAATGTCATGGAAGTAAAATACCAGTCTTTTACAGGGCTGGCGTGATGATGCTAGTCGCATTTTTTTGCCATGGATCATGGCCGTGGAGGTACAGAGCAGGAGGAGGGAACAGAGGAGAAGAGCTGAAAGTGGTTTTGCAACACCTGCCATTTCTTTTTTTTTTTTTCGAATGTGATAATGCTGCTGCGTATGCTTTGAAGAATGCCTATTCTGGTGGCTATTTATATACACAAATTGTAACATTTTCTTTGATTATACGTTTTCTTTATAAAGATAGTATGCTAAAACTGTATCTTTTATTTTGTATAACTTCATCTTAACTACTCACACAATCATTTGGGGTAAAAACCTATTTTGAGCTCCTTACCTTATCAAGTATGAAGGTTTTAACCTCTCAATTTATATTATAACATTTTTAGTTTCTCACCTTACCAATTTTATAGGTTTAACATTTCATCTTATATTATGACACTTTTAGACACTTTTAGCCCCTCACTTATTAAAATTAAAGAAAATAACCCTCACTTTGTAACATTTTATCAATTTTATTAATTGATTATTAACTCTATTAGTTAACTGTTAATTGATTATTACTTGTCGAAAACTTTTTTTCAGCTAATAGAGTTAATATAACTAATTTTATTATATTTTGTTAATTCTGTTAATTAGTTATTAGTTGACTGTTAATTGATAAAAATTTATTTTCAGCTAGCAGAATTAACAGTTAGATAAAATGAGGATTATTTTCTTCGATTTTAATAGATGATGGGGTAAAACCTACAAATATAATAAGGTGAGGGGTTGAAAGTATCATAATATAAGATAATGAGTTAAAACTTTCAAACTTCATAAAGTGAAAGACTAAAAATAAGTTTTTGCCAATCATTTGGGGCTCCACCACCACGACGGCTCATTTTCAAGGAAAGTAGTGGAGTAAAGTGTACACTGCTTGAGGAACCCAGGCTGGCAGAGTTTTTGTGGTTACCCTTTTTTTTTTTTCTAAATGAAGGTTACTAATTAATTTTAAGTTGGAATAATTATTCACATTAGGATTCAATTCAAATACACATGTACTAATAGCCAAGTCCTTGCCTTCTTTACTAAAGTACTAATTAAAAATAAAAAAATATTATATAATTTAGATTGTATAATTTAAATATTAAATAGAGACATACTCCTTTCCATTCAATGTGATTTCTAACACTAACGAACAAAGTTTCTATTTTATTTGTAGAAGAAAAAATGATCACATGTTTAGCTCCCTAGAGATGGTCCAAATAAAACTTTCTTTTGGAATAAGAAAATGAGTGTCATAGGACCACCTACGCAAGAACCATCTTCTCTTTGAGAAAAATGAGGTTAGTGATTATGTACTCCGCTTAGATACATTACAATAAGAAAGTTTAGAATAGGGACTAACTAGGAAGGATATATATACTATAAAATAGGATGACCTTGACATCTTTCTGTAACTAATGAAAACTATTAAAATTAAGCTAAACATTATTATAGAATGAGCTTATCAATTTTATCATTAATCTTTTTATTTTTAATAATTGAATTTATTTACAACTTTTTAAATAAACAAATTTTACCATTAGTCTTTTTACTTTTAATAATTACACACAAATCTATATAATCATTTGTACGTGGCACCACCACCAGGATGCCTCATTTTCAAGGAAAACGTACACTGCTTGTGGAACCCAGGATGGCAGAGTTTTTGTGGTTACCAATTAGTTTTAATTTGGTATATGTATTCACATAAGGATTCAATTCAAATAGACATACACTAACAGCCAAGTCCCCGACTTCTTTGCTATAATACTAATTATAAACAATATATATATATATATATGTTACATAAGTTAAACTATATAATTTAAACTATTAAATATGAGTATACTTCCTCCATTTAATGATATTTGATGTTCAAGAAAAAAATTTATATTTCATTTGTAGGTGAGGAAAAATGATCACATGTTCAACTCCATGGGGATGGTCCAAATGAAACTTTCTTTTGAAATAAAGAAATGAGTGTCATAGGACCAGCTACACAAGATCAAGATCCATCTTCTTTTCGAGAAAAACAAGGTTAGTGATTA